CTCCTATTAGAGCAGTTTGAGCATTTTTGGCACGAAGTTGCACTCTATGTCGCATCTGTTCACACTCTGGAAGTAGTTGGAAGTTTCTATGGTATGATGACCTTGATTGTTTCGACACGAGTGTAAATTGTCCTTGCAATTTGGTTTCTGTCTAGATGTTGCGGAAGCTAGTAACTCTTTCTTAGTTTGCTGGAAGCAGTTTTGTGAGTTTTTTACTTTTTCTTAGAGTCCCCGTTTTTTATTTGGTCTATTCTGGTCCGACCAGTATGGGATAAATATTGGTGCATCCAGCAAGTCTTCCATGACAGTCTTTTTAAATACGCAATTACTGTACAAGATTGAAATGTCCCAAATGTCTGAATGTTGACCAAAAGCGCGCAGGAGAAAAAGTTATTGAGATAGGACGTGGAAAGTTGTTCAAACGTATTTTGTTTTTGCAGGAAAATGCTAATGCATACAAGTCGCATGTTGACATACAAACATTTCTTGATTTAGGATTCGCAACCCCCTCATTCGCTAGATCTGGCTTCGTCTGACTTTGGTGTTTTTCTTTAAGTGAAAGAAAGCATTTGCAAACAAATACACAGCATTTAATTCTACTTGTTCATACCAGAAATGATCCGCGGCCGTAAAATGTTTTTATCGAACAATTAATTCGTTCTATTTGTATTTCACTTTGTCAATATTATTATTACATTTCTATATTTTTTTCCTCTCATGCTATATTTCCCGCGAGACAAATCAAAATTTTTAATTATAGTTCTATATCTGAGTCAGCGATTAACACACACTTTAAAATAGTATGAATATGTTCTCTATAATATTATATAAGATATTTCTATAGCTAAATGATTCTCTTAATTCATTATGCGTAGGACTTAAACCTGATCTTGCTTTTGCTTATGTAGTTGCAAATTAGCCATTTTATAACAATTTAAGGTGTAGGCAGAAAATAGTTTTGCGAAATACCTGGCTTAGATTAAAGATCTTGCGATTTTTGTTTTGGCTACTTGATTTTATTACTTTATCTTTTATAAGAAAAATGTAGTGTATATTTTTAGCCCAGTCTGGTTATGCAAAAATCATCGATTTCACGGCGAAATTTTTCGCAGATATCTGAAGCTTTTAAGACATAGGTAGGGGTTACTAGATGACGAATAGACAAAAAAGTACTCGTATTTTTATCTTGCGTTTTTTTAAATAATTGATGGCCACAATTTGATTTTTAGTCTATAAAGTAGTCTTTTTATATCAAGAATATCTTTGTTTTTCCATTTTTTAAATTAAAAGTTATAAATAATTTACGGAGATATTTGCAAAAAAACCAATTTTTTGTACTAATTTATAAATTTTATTAATTTTTTATTAACTAAATCAAAATACCGAAGAATTACCGTCTTTCAAATTTGTGCGAAATTAGACTAAATATTTAAACTATTGGACCTGCTCTATTAATGGTACTATACTACTATACACATTTAGCAAATTTCATAGGATTCTTAAAAAAGACTTAAACTATCTCAGAAGTTAAATGCTTATTGCGTTTTCATCGAAATTATTTACAAAATAAACGTATGAAAAAGGGGTACAAGCTACGTAGTTGTACGTACAATCATTGGATAGCTGGTAAAAAAACTCACATTAAAAAAACCTATGACCAATAGGAACGAAGTTAGGGATTGTTTTTTAAAAGATATCTCCATTGTTTATAAATATTAAGAAGTAAAATTTCCACAAATTTTGAATGAAAGTCTAAACTTTATATTGAAACTTAAAAAACTAGCTATAAAATTTATCCAATTCTTCGAAACTTACAGCCCTTCGAAACAAAGGTATAACTATTTACTTTCGAAAGATCGACATAGGAAAGTGGAAGGGGTAACTAAAATTGAAACACGAACGAAAAATTTACATTATCTCGGCTTCTATCGCAGCTAGAAGTCTCCTTTTTTTAATCTGGGGTAGCTCGTCGAAATATGAATAACTACATAGTTTTCACTGGCCGGGAAATATGGGAAACCTCGGAAAAATTGAGTCCATTTGAAATTCACCGTAAAAACTTAATTTTTTTTAATTTGGCTGGAGTAATCTGTCACAGTATTAATAATGATGACATAATTTTCACCCACACCCCTTTATCGTGGCTATTTCTTCCAGCAACTATTAACTACCAATCCTATTCAATTTTTATCAACTGTCAAGTGTCTTGGTAACTTTGATAAAAAAACATATTTTATTTAGATACATTTCCTTATTTATAAAATAAACCACAGAATTATTACGTATCCCAGTGTTATCATCAGGCATAATGGAAATTTTTATTTGGTTAAAATGCGACAAAAATCAACCACATGATCGGACTTGCAATAGACATAAATGTAATAAATTCATATTAAAATAGCTAGAACTATATATGTATGAAAATAAAACAATTGTTCTGTAGAGTCCAAAATGGAAAATATTAGTTTAGATTTGAAATTATGGTTATGGAGATTTCTACATTATTACCATTACCGAAGAAACTATGTTCCAAAAATTCTGAGACTATAAAAAACAAGAGTTAAGTATCATTATCACCCAACCTTCATTTATCACGTCCACTGCTGGACATAGGCCTCCCTTAAGCTTCTCCATTTTTAACGATTTTGTACCCTTTGTTGCCAATTTTTGGTGACACGCCTGATGTCGTCAGCCCAACGTGTAAGTGGTCTTCCTCTACTACGTTTGTCTGCTCTTGGCCTCCGATTTGTACTTTTGCTCGTCGATCGTGAGTCGTGCATTCTCGCTGCATGGCCTGCCCAGTTCCTTTTCAGTTCCGCTATGCGTTCCACAACATCAACAATACTCGTCCTTCTTCTCAGATCTTCGTTTCTTATTCGGTCCCACAACGTCACTACCAGCATAGATTGTTTCATTCGTCTGTGTGCAACTCTCAATTTCGAAGCCGTAGTTTTGGTTAGAGTAATAGTTTCCGCCCCATAGGTCATGACCTGTTATACGCAGTGGTCAAATACTTTTCTTTTGTGTCTTTAACTGATTCTATAAGTGTCTTTAACCGTCGTATTTCAATCGTGTCGAACGCTTTATGAAAATCTATGAAAGTGAGGAAAAGAGGTTTGTTGTATTCTATAGATAAAAAACTATTTTTGATCTCTCATTAATAGTATGTTGTTTTATTAGGAGTAAAAATGATAGTTTTTGTGGCGAGGCTATTCGTTCGGCGGACAAATGTAGCCAGTCCGACATAAGGCCGAGGCACCAAATACTATTAATTATTCATTACAATATAGTTATTACAACATACTATTTTTTACTTTTAAACGTCGCAAATAATTTTTACGTAACTATTGTTACTTCTATTGATTCTTACTTTAACAAATAAGAAAAATGATTCCGAAGATCCCACGGTATCACTTATTCGTCCATATATTTTTTGTACTGCAAAGACTGTAACTGAAGGATTGTTGCCTACCAAGTCCACTGCGGTTTACGAAGTTTTTGAGCTTTTTACTTTTACACTTTTTGTAATTAGGCGTAAAGTGTTTTACCTTTATGTCCAGGCGTAAAAGTGACATTTTTATATTGTCAATCACGTCACAAAAATTGACTTTTGTGACGTTTGAAAGAAAACATTATTCATTAATTATTTTCATATTCAATTCATTATTTAAAAACATTGAACTATATCAAGAAGTACAAGAAGTAGAGGACGACCACGAAGGAGATGGATTGATGATTTGGAGCAAGACCTACAGATTCTAGAAGGCCAGACGAGGGAAGTTGCCAGGAATCGACAGAAGTGGCGACTTGTTTGTGAGCAGGCCAAGATCCACAACGGATTGTCGAGCCACTTATGACGATGATTTAAAAACATTATTTGAGAAATAGGCGAGGGAAAAAAGAAAAGCTGGGTAATTATTGTTCCTGGGACTAATGTTCCTTCAGATTGCACTGCCAACTTTTGGTTCCGTGAATTTCGTAGCGACCGTACGTTTTCATTGGATGTACCTGGTACCACGTACTGGGCGGCCTTTCGATGCAGTAACCGAAAAATGAAATGGTTTGAGCTGACCGTAAAGTGAAGGTGCGTGAATTGGCAGAGGCCAAGAATTATTAAAGAGCACACTATTCATATTTTTAACGTAGTTTTAAATATCCTACCGGCAGTTGGCGCGTTTGATGACCATTGACCAAAAACATCTTGTGACCGTCACAGAACGGCAGTGGTCTGCACGTCGGCAAAATTGCTCCGAAGCAACCAAGAGTGGCTCAATTGGTTCTTAATTGACTCTTAAAAACGGTAAAAGTATCAATATATGGAAGAGATAATATATGTAATTGACGAAAAAACGCCTATTATGCAGAGTGTCCAGTATCGTATTATTTGGACGTCATAGGTCATAAAGAAGTTGTAAAATTGCTGGAATCGTTGTACTGAGCTAAAAAAAGACTATGTCAAGTCAAAAAAAAAAAAGAATTTTCTGGGAAAACTTGTTTTTCATTTTAAAGTGGTTACTTATCATACCACCTCGTATTAAGTTACCTCACATTATGTTCAAGGAACGTTATACTGACTATTAAACAACTAAATGCTATAGTTATGGTTTTAATGCAAACAAAGATAACATTTCAAATAGAAAAATGGTTTAGTGTTCTTATTTTTGCGTCATATTCCAGTTATATAACCTTAAATATTTTCATTCAGTTATAACCAAAATATTAATCATTTTTGCAACATTCTGTAAATATTTATGTTTTCGAAAGCTACATTTTTATTCAGTATTTGCGATGATGTAAAGATGGATTTAAGTATATGGGGAAAATAGTGTGTGGAGAACATGATTTTTTTAAATTTATTTTCGTGATACATCTTCTAGACAAATTCTCTAACATTTGTAAACATTTTTGTCGTATTTAAAATTGAACCTAATGTATTATGATTAGAAACACGATATAACTGAGTAACTAGAACTTAATTTTAATATTTTTTTTTTTTGCAGTGGAGAGTCTGATCTACTGGCGTGATCCCAAGAAATCTGGTCCGGTCTTCGGAGGAGTTCTCGTAGTTCTACTCGCTCTTACATATTTCTCTCTAATCAGTGTGGTAGCGTACGTTTCACTCATCGCCCTCGCCGTTACTTTAGCTTTTAGGGTTTACAAAAGTATTGTACAGGCTGTTCAAAAGACTGGTGATGGACATCCATTCAAAGAATATCTTGAACTCGATATATCGCTACCACAAGAAAAAGTAAAACAGATCACAGAAGTGGCCATTGCACATATCAATGCCGCCATCGTGGAACTTCGAAGATTATTTTTGGTCGAAGATTTGGTAGATTCCATCAAATTCGCAGTTTTATTATGGACCCTTACTTATGTGGGAGCGTGGTTCAATGGCATGACTCTAATTATTCTTGGTAAGTTTTATGTGAACATTATGTCTGTATAATTTAATTCAATAGGTATTCTACTGCTAAACTTTGTATGCTGTTTTTTCAAAACTTTTATGAATTTTATGCGTTACTTTTGGGACACACTGTATATTATTGTATATTAATAATGGTACATATATAAATATTAAAGTTAAAAGAAGACAGCAATATACATATTTAATGCTAAATACGACTATTCTTCTTCAGAGATTAAAAAATGTAGGATCGAAAAAGAAAGGTCGTCCTTTTTAGGACGTTGAAATTATTTCGCAGCCATGACATTAAAACAAAAATCAAAGTTCAGCCACTTCAAACTTGTTTTTCCAATACTTATGCATCCAAAAAACAGTGAAGGTGTTTCAGAATACATAGGTTTCCCTGGAAGGACCATAAACTCAAATATCTAGGTCACAAAAATATCAAATGTTAAAGCTAAAATTCCATGAACAATACCTGACAGGAGGCGTCTTGGAAGACGAAGAATTTCCTGGCTCAAGAATCTGAGGGTGCGGTTTAAAACAAATAATGCAGAACTTTTTGTCACCGTTGCCAATAAAGTAAGAATAACCATGGTGGCCGCCAACATTCGGTAACGATTAGACACTCATACAAGAAAAATAAAAGCTACAGAAAAGTCTTTTATACATGATATAACAGTTCTTTACAATTTCACAACTTGTACTGACCATGGATCCATTAGAGCAAAGGTTAGCTTTAATGGAGAATTATATCTGAAAAAAGAACTAATGACTTACAAAAAAATAAACAAATATAAAAGGACAAAATTAAAAATATAATGCCCGATAAAGATAACCTATACCTAGCTAAAGGAATTGACGAAGACAGTGATACTTTAAGAGAACCATTAATGAAAGCCGAGAGAGAAGTGACACCAATGGGAGAGAAAAAGTAACAATGGATCTCACAAATAACAAGAACAGTATTGGAAGAATGAAGAACATTTATTCAACAAAACAAGAGACTGGCAATAGAATATTCGGTGCTAAACAAAACTACCAAGAAAAACATAAAAGAGGAAAAGAAAGAAACAAGAAGAAAAAGTAGGAGTACTTCAACAAAACTGGGAAAAATACAAATAAATTCCATTAAAAACATCTATGGTTAAGAAACAAGTGACATACATGATATAATACAATGAATAAATAACACAATAGTATTATTTAGATCGGTATCAAGAAATGCAACCACCATCACAAGAAATTCGTCAAAAATTGGAAATTAAAATAAGAAATATAAATTCTGAGCTACAATCAGAGATTAGAAAACCAGAAATACAAAAAGAACTTACAGAAGTGAAGAATAATAAATCACCAGGGAGATATTACAGTCGGAATGATTAAAAATGGTGGGGAAGTTACAAGATAAGTGCTGCATATTTTAATGAACAAAATATTAAGCACAAGAAACATATGGAATAGAGCAATCACGCTATTATAGTTCAAAAAAGGAGACAAAATAGGACTAAAATGTTATAGGACTGATTACTCTACTTTATGTAGTAACCAAGAAGATGTACCAGAAGTTCTTCCGGAAGAAGTAGAATCAGCAATTACTAAAATGAAAAGCGGTAAAGCAACTGGAATAGTTGCCATAACAGGATGGAACTGCCTAAGATCAAACATAATTTTCACTCATAATAAAGGTAGCAAAGAGGATATCAAAAACTACAGACCTATAAGTCTACTACTCTTCACTGTTACTCTAGAAAATATATTCAGCAAAATAAAGTGGCAGAACAAAGTCGTGATTGGTAATTATCCTTCAGAAGTACACGAACTTCTAAGCGACCTGAATACAGTTAAAAATTAAGTTGACAAAAACAAAAACCATGTACGACGAGCTATTGGATGTCCAAGATGTAATCATAAACAATGCACTTGAGACAGTAGAGACGAGTCCTGGGACAATAATTAATACATAAATCTGGCTCCTTACTACTAGAAATCAACAGAAGAATGAAACAAGCTTGGGCATCTTTTGGTAGAAATGCAGTTATATTCAAATCAAAGATTCCACTCCACTTAAAGAAAAAAGCATTCAATCAGTGTAAACTACCAGTCATGACATGGACACTTGGACACTAAAGAAAGAGATAATAGCGAAACTTATAAGTCCCTTAAAGGTCAATGGAGCGATGCATGTTAGTTATAACAAAGAGAGATTGTAAAAGAATAGAATGGATCAGACAGAAAACCAAGGTTACTGATGTGATCCACAGAATTAAATCTTTAAAATGGCGAGAGATTTAGTGAGAAGAGCTGACAATAGATGGTCCACTAGAATTACACTGTGGTAGCCAAGAGGCGTCAACAGACCAAAAAGACATCCAAATTTAAGATGGGACTATGACATAAGAAAACAAGCTGGTGCAACATGGCACAGAAAAGCAATATTAGACAATCGTGGGCAGAAATGAACATAGAGCCTGCGCTATAATCGGTAGAATAAGCTGAGAATGATGATGATGATAAACAAAATAATATATGGTATAGAACATCCCAGAGGTACTTTTCAGTGCGTCACAGTTTTTCGATTTCTTTCTAATGCATTAAGTTGGATGTGACGGAGAAAGCGGTAGTTCCGTGATTAAACAGAACTATATTGCAGCGTTAGAATAAGCTTACATATATAAGCGGTTCTTTCCTAACCTACGTTTGATTCGTTGATATTTAGATGCGCGCCTTTCTCTAGCCAATCAAATACGCCTATTACTGACAGTTGACGTAAAACTTCGTCCATGCTGGCCATTCTTTCGAAGTGTTCGAATAGCAAGTAACGGTTATCGTTCAGGTCAGTATTTGCAAAGAATATAGACGCTATAATATATATTTATATTCTTTGGTATTTGTTTTGTATAATTTTATTTTGTATTTTGTTTTACATAGTATTGTGATTGTGATTTTTATTTGTATTTGTACAAGATGACAAGATATACGGAAAAAGAACAAGTTCTAATATTAAAATTGCTTAAATATTTTCAATTGGAAAAGGACAAACATTATTACCAATTTCTGCTGTTCGTGAAGTAAGTTGAAAATTATCCTGAAAATAAAATTGTTTTATTTACTGTTTATTTCAGCGTGTTGCTGAAGCGTTAGAAATTTCTTTGCCAACCATAAGGCAATTAGCAAATGAAGGAATACAAACAGATTCTGATTATACCAATAAAGTAAGCGACATCACTAGTTGTGAACCTAACTTGATTTTAAATAAATACCAACATACCATTAGGACTTATTAATGAGTAGGAGAAACTTATTATTGAGTATTGGGAGACTGCCAAACGAATTGACATAAACCCCATAGCTCCAGTAATTATCGATTTAAATGAATCGGATTCTGACTATTCAGATGACGATTTTGTTAGCTGATACTCAACCGTTTTTCGTTTGATTCGCCAATTGTTTGGGTTATATTTATTATTATCTTCAAAAAAATATTTTTTTTTTCAAAAACATTTCGAAATACAAGGGTTATCATAATTGGTACCATTTACTTACCTATTGGTACATGTTTCAATACATGTCACTATTGTCATACCATTTCACACACAAAATTTCATTAGTTTTGTCAAATCTATAATCATATGCATTTTTCTTCATTAGCTTTCATGAAATGAAAAAATTTCATTTGTAGATAGTTCACGCAACTATTTCAAAATATCAATTACTATTTTATCTCCAAGTGGTCTTTTTTAATAGTACCATTCGCTTTTTTCGGCAACAAACGAGAAAACCATAATGATATCCAGTGGAACCAGTTATAATCCAATTCTTATATTCACATCTGACTGGCTTCTCTCTAATTAACTGTTTAGCTAGGTTATGACCAAAATATTTGACCATGGATTTCTCAAATTAAATATCTTTATGAAAACATCCCCACTCTCAGTATTTTTCTATAATTTTATCTGCTAAAAGTCTGATTTTGTACATACAAACTGTAGAATCGCCTATTTTGACATTATCCGCTAGATGAACAAACTTTGTTATTTATAGATACTTGTCTCTGCTCAAGACGTTGTAAACACAGGAAACTCCTAGGTCCTCATCCAATGACCTGATCTAATTTCATTTCTAGATGGTTCAGGCCTATGTTTCAAAAGATCAATTACTACTTTGGCTCCAAGTGGTATTTTTTTATTATCTTCAACGTCATTCGTTTTTTTTTTCGCAACAAACGTGAAAACCATAATCATATCCAGTGGAACCAGTTATCATCCAATTCTTATATCCAAATCTGACTGGCTCCTCTCTAATTAATGTTTTGCTAGGTTATGACCGAAATATTTCACCATTAATTTGTCTAAGGATATATCTATAAGGAAACTCTTTCACTGGCAGTATTTTTCTATAATTTTCTATTACACTGATATTCAAATTCTACTTTTCAGTGTTTCCAATAAACTATTATTATTACACATTAGTGAATAAATAGTTTTTATGATTAGAATTATATTTTATTTATGTAATTAATTTAGAAGTTACCTAATAAATTTTTGAAAACAGTCTTTTTTGTGTTACTTATACTATGGCCAAAAAGCAGTAGTGAGAATAGAAGAAATAACATCAGAAGAAATAGAAGTACAAAGAGTTGTTCGACAAGGTGTATACATACACCAGTATTATTTAATATGTATACTCGGAAGACATATTAAGTAAGGCAATGGATTAACGAAACGTAGACATTAGAATTAATGACATGATCATAAATAACCTGAGATACGCTGATGATACAGTTCTTTTAGCCGAATCCCATGAAGACCTACAGATACTTCTTAATTAGATGACCGCAGTAAGCAAATAAGAAATTGGCCATCACTCAACAGAGCAAGAAATATATGATAGTAACAAAGACAACTCAGGATATTCGTGAGATATATGTACAGAATCAGCCTATTGAAATAGTAAGAGAATTCAAATACATAGATACAACTATTAATGAAAATAATGACAGCTCTCAAGAAATACGAATCAGAATCAAACAGGGCAGAAGCGCATTTACAAGAATACAAGGGTTTCTCTGGTGTAGAAACTTAAACCTTAAGTTAAAAATACGACTGCTGAGGTGCTACGTATTATACGTATTATAATACGGGATGGAAGCGTGGACACTGAAGAAAATTCACGTGAGGAAACTGAAGATGTGGATGTACCGAAGAGTACTAGGGATCTCATGGGTAGATGGAATAACCAACGTTGAGGTAATGTGACGTATGCATAAGGAAAGAGAAGTACTAACAATTAAGAGGAGAAAAGTGGGATATATGGGTCATGTGATGAGAGGAAATAAATATCTAATACTCCAGGTTATTACGCAAGGAAAAATCCGGAGAAAAAGATCCATAGAAAGGAGACGTAACTCATGTAATAACGACTTATTTAGAGCCGCTGTCTCAAAATTAAAAATCGCTGTGATGATTGCCAACTTTCGACGCGCAGACAGCCCCTTGAGAAGAAAGATACAAAAATTCAATAAATGAATCATTTTTTCGTCAATTTCAAATTTTTCCATATTTATAAATTGAATAAACAATGTTGTTTACTTTTTATTTTATTAATATACGGGATTACCCCCTGTGGCTAAGTACGATCCTGGCATCTGTCAAATTCTTCAATAATTATATGAAATAATTCTCGACACACCCAATTCATTCTATGACATCATAATTAATGACGCACTGAAAAGTACCTCTGGGATGTACTTTACCAATATTTTATCAAAATTCACAATACATTTTCTTATTTGGTAGCATTACTAATAAATTTTGTTTTATATATAAGTACTAATATTTCATTTTATTTTTAGCTTGGGTCGCCCTCTTCACTCTTCCAAAAGTTTACGAAGTAAATAAGACTCAAATCGATGCTAATTTGGAGATTGTTAGGACAAAATTGGCTGAAATTACTTCAAAGTAAGTGAACTTATCCCATTATTTATATTGCAGCACCTTAATTAACTAATCGAAATAAATATTAAACTGATCATTGTCATAAAATGGCTTTACAGTTCTTGCAGACGCCAGATCTTCCAAATTACACTTCTAATCGTCTCGAATGACTAACTCCCAGATATCTTTTCTATTTCATCTGGACACTTAATTCTTGGTCTATCTCGTAGACTATAGACAATTTGCCTATGGTATCTGCTGGTATATTTTTTTCCATATTTGTGTTCAGGAATGCGTTTTTTTCCAAAGTACTTCTGTATCCTTAGAGCTGGTTGACTTCGAAATCTTGGATATTAAAACATACTAAACAAATAAAAGAAATTATTATTTGAACTTACTGTCCATTTGTTTAAAAATCTATTTTTACTTTACCTAATTCGGATATCAACACTAGCCATATCAACACTCGTAACCCATACTCATCCATTTTTAATTTTCCATTTATGTATTATACTGTTAACACAACAACTGTTCTTGTCCAATTGTTTGAAGGTGGTCAGTAGTACTAAATCCTCTTCAAAATCCCGCCTGCTTTACTGAATGATAGGAGTCAATTTTGGAGGGTTTTCTAAGGACTACATTGATTTTCGAAGTATTCTCCATGCACTTTTGCATTTGATAGAACCAACGAATATTGAGAAGAATATTGGGACACATTTGCGACAATGGTATGTAAAGAATAAGGTTCAACCAGGAGATATGCCAATATTACAAAAAACCCTCTATAGAAAATTATGCGAAATTACTAAGATTGCGCTGGGCAGGCTCTTATAGAATGAACAGTAACAAAACACCTAGTAGAACTGTGGTGGGACGTCGGGGCCAGAAGGAAGAGGTGGATAAACGAAGTGATTTAGTTTTTTTTATAGGCTCAGTCCTAGCAAATTCCAGTGCCCTATGTCCAATACTCTTTAAACATTGAAAGTCTTTGTCCTTATGAAATATTATTAGTACATTTATTCCAACAATGATGATTTTTAAGTTCTCGTAACTTTTTTGCTTCATGAGTATTGTGTTTTTTATCCATGTAAGCTAATCTGAATTTCTTGCTTTTTTAGCCTTATTATTTCCCACTTATTTGGCCTCCGAATCCGAAACTAACTCTTCTTAAAAACACGAGTTCTTCTCAATAACAAAAAGGTTGCAGTTTACATTAAAATAATTATTTTAACAACAAACACAAATGATAACAAACTCAACTAACAGTCTGACACAGTGGAACAGGGCTACAAGTGCACTTGTAGCTCTTCTCTTCCAAGCCTTATTCATAGTTGGCTTGGAGGCTAAGTAACTTGCCGGTAGAAAGCAGCAACTTTTAGACTTATCGCTTAGATCTCTTTACCTCCATGTAGAATGAAAGTTTTCCAGTGCAGAGAAGCAGTTTTCTCAATATTTACAAAAATGTTACTTATACCCCTTTAGGGTCCTCAAATCATATTTTACTTTGATTATTTGAATAATTAGGATAACTTATTAATATAGTAACTGAAACATTTATTTCTTTTTTAGGATAAAGACAGCAATACCAATGGGCAAGAAAGCCGAAGAAAAGAAGGAACAATAGATTTAACAACTTCTACCTTGCACACGCGAGGAAATCAGACTATATTACTATACATATATTAATTTATTGTTGTTTCTTTATTCCATTAAACGTTCTTATGTAATGTTTCTAAATATAATTAGTGTACATATATAAGATGTTATTTTAATGTTTTTTTATTTGAATTTTTTGATGTTATTTATTTCTTGTAATACATAGAGTCGAAGAAGAATATAGAATTTAACATAATAAATGTGTTGCAGAGAAATAATTATTAAATAGAGATATTTGATTTTCGTTGATTGAATTCATTACACTATATTATCATTATTTGATAGTTATCAATTTTGCTCAAAGTTTATCAGAATCGAATTTGAAGTATTATTTTTAAGTTTGGCATGTGAGCAACTTTGAAAACTGATGATCAGTTTGCAATATGTTCTTTTGTTTTTAATAGTTTAAGCCTGTTTTTAATAAGACAGACTGTCTTGACTAGTATGAAATGTATCAGATCCAGGGTAAAGCTGCTATCTATTATTTATTTTGTATAATTAAAATATCTTTATACATTGATTATAATAGAAAGTAAGGGAAGAGTCTGAAAAGTCTGTATGTTTGTTAACAAGTAAAAATACTCGAGCCGTAGTAGAAGATTGAGCCAATAATATAAGAGTAATTAAAGGGAAAACTTACCAACTTCAGGACTAAGAAACTAGGAACTTGCTGATAAATTATCATTTATGCCATCAATATAAATACAATAACACAATGTTGGATCAATTGGAAGATATTTTTGTAGATATATGGATACAGCTGATGTTGCCGGCAATTATATAATGAGATATGGAAGGATGGTTTACCTGAAAGCGAATGCGCGAGGTATTGTGTGATTGAAAAATCAAGGAAAGATAAACAAGAGTGTGGTAAGCCCTGCGTTGGTGTAAGGCGTTAAAGTGTGGCCTGTAAAGAAAGTTTAGGAAAAGATGGCGATAGCTGAAATGAAAATGTTACTTTGTAATGGAAGTTGGGTAAGACTAGAAGGGGGAAGATCAGGAACAACGTGATTAAGGAAAGAGCAGGGATGACTACAACCTTTAAAAATATTCAAAAACGAAAACGGCAATGGTTTTGTCATGTCAGATGTAGAAGTGAGAATTATGTGGAACGAAATATAGAGCTGTTAGAAGTTTGAGGGAAAGAGAGGTAGAGATGACCGATGAGAAGATGGAACGACTGTGTAGCAGAGTACTTAAGAGAGAGAAAAATATATAAAAACTTTGTACATTTAACTATGTGGAACCATTTTTGTGCACTAAACGCATTGAATACAAGTTATCGGTATTTAGGCCAAGAAAGTTAGTATGATAATCATCAGTTATCAGTCTAATTACATAATGCCTGTCCTGTTATTGTCTATATTTGTTACAAGTTCTTTATGTTTGTATATCATACATATTCCTTGTGCGTTTCACCACAAAATTATTACGAAATGATAAGAAGAGTGGAAGAATACATGTAATAAAAAGACTGCTTTTTTTTTAATAAAACTTAACTGCAACCGAATAATGTGCATATTATTTTATTGTTTTCTGGATTTGGGAGAATATACCATGCTTTGTTGATTTTACATTTGTAGTGCAGGTTAAGCTATATTGCTATTTGTGTGGCTTCGGCTGTTAAATTTTTTTTTCAACGGTCTCGACACGGTTTCATCAATGCTGCGTATTATTCTTACTATAATGAAGCATCAACCCTTGACGAAGTGGGGTTCCATTTATAAAACGATTAAGTCATGGACATTGTCCTGTACTTATAATTGATTTGGCCAAGCTTACTAGTTCAATGATGAATCAGTTGCACATGTGAGTCCATTTCAATAAGAAATAAATGTTATTACTCTTGCTGTTCATCGTCTGGTCTCCGGAATAATTACTTAACGTGCTAAAAATTACAAATTATAGCTATTACGGTTTTATCAGGTATGTTTTAATAGTGCCAATATTACGTATCCGTGGTTTGAGAAATTTTATAAATAGTACTTACATGTCGGTTTAAGAAATGTTACATAAACGCTTATTTAGGTTATGTTGTTCTCTGGTGACCATCAGTTTCATTACATATCGAAAATATGGTCATCAAAGAACAAAATAACAAATGAGTGTCTAGTATGCACCTACGTAACTACATTCCTTAAACCGGCATTTAAGCACTATTTAAATACTTTTTCAAATCATGCATATGTAATATTGGCACCATTTATAACATACCTGATAGAACACCAATAGTTACAATTTGTAATTTTTAGCGTTATATTAATTTCTGGTAAGGTATCAACTGGTTGAAGAGGAGTTTTAAAAACGATACAAGGAATATTTTTAATGCATATATGCGCAATGAAACTAACGACTTCAAAAATATCAGTCAGTGAAAAGTCTTAAAAAAATTGGAAACATTTCATGTAAGATAAGCAAAAACTAATACAAATAATTCTCTACAAATAGAATATTGCTGTGCATACCAGTGTGCTCTGAAAAAAATCATGAATTTACAGATAATACATGAAGTACATACCTTCCTGGTGGGAATTGCACTACTTGCTAGTTTATCTACCACTGTAAAAAGTTAAATAATAAATGTGTTCAACTGTGAAATCAATGGCGCAGTTTTTTTTTGTATGTATATGTCTTCATACAGTAACCGTTATACAAACTTATAAAACAGAAGAACGTATTTGCAATTTTACTTGATATTCCCATTTAACTGTTATTTTCATTGTACTTGTTTTATTATAAGCTGGCCAGATGTCACACTTATAGAATAAGTTGTCCGTTCAGGCGTGGGCAAATGGGTATGGTTACTTCATACAAAACATGTCAACAATTAAAATATAGCATGCTATCAAGCTGATCGTCAAATAAATTTCGAATTTTCTCTTGATTTACCGTTATTAACTTATAGATGATTAAACATCTACGTTCACTTTATTTATGGTCTTGTCAGAGAATTTATGTAGAAAAATTTGATAATATACAACAGATTTCGCCGAATCCGAGTATGAAATTTTTAAATTCAATATAATAAAAGTTACTATAATATATTCAATAAAGAAAATGCGTCAACACAGCGTGATCAGCTCTTCGAACCGCAAAATAGCTGTAAACAGAGTACGAAGAGAGGAATCTCGAGACAAATCTGTTGTAGTTTGCGTGTATTTTACATCCTATTGTTCTAAATCAGAATCAGCTCACGTGCAATTGTTTGTGCGTGGCGTGCTTTCTCTTGATTGTGAATAGATCGTCAGTTTATAATAAATCTGGTACACTTTAAGGAACGTTAAGCCTTATTAATCATTTTAAATCATACTTAAACATAGACATATGTTCGGCACTCTAAAACGTGTCATGTTGTATGTGATGTTTTATAGTTCAAAAGCACGCAAATTTTTATTTTAATCTTCTGTCCAAGTTTTAAAGTGGTTTTTTAATATACATACTCTGTTAATGAATGTAATCTGTTTTTATTCTTATTTCTTTTAGCACGCTAAGGAAGAATTTAGTGTTAATAGAATTTTCAAGGTTCGATATTGAAGAGGTTATAGTAAACATTTATAAAATCGAAGAGTAGACATAAAACTCTTTAGTTTTTAGAACTAAGCATAAGCTTAGTTCTGTGGTATTTTGTTGGAAGCTTAGCATACTTCCATACTATCTATAGATTGAGTAAAGTCGTGTATCAAAATTATTGTAGCTTATGATGTATGAGAGTTTGCATTGATCAGAACACTAGCAATGAACATAAGAAATATCAGAAATCCATAAAATTATATCAGCTCCTACCATAACGTCTCAAAAATCCATAGTAAAAAATATGTAGATGATCTGAAAAGTTGTTCGTGTGATATTGAAAACGACAGTTTATGCTTTCAAAGAAGTTTAAATGTTCAACATAATCTAGTAATACCTGAGTACTTTCATTTGAGGTATTGGCCTCTTTGCAGTGTTCCTCTCGAAGTGCAGCAAACTGTTCATCAATCGATTTCTTGATTAGATAAAACGCTTTGACTAGCAAGTACGGTCTTCAGTTGTAAGAGTTTATAACAGTTTAGAGATTTAAATCATTGCCAAAACATCTTTACATTATCTGATGGAAAATGATTTTTTTCTCCGGCAAGCGCAAGCCAGTTTCACTAGAAGTTTAGAAAAACATTCCCCAGTAATCATTTTATCCTTTTCAATATAGTCAATCAGCAAACTGCTTTAGACTACTACAGTCAATTGCTACATCGTATGACCTGGAATTTTACATGACATCAACACCTGTATCAGCGTAAGATTAAAAATACGCGAGTATTACTGAAACCTGTGGACGACACCGAGAATTTATCAGACTGCTTTAGTACTAAATTACTGATATGACAACTGATTGTTGCCTTTTGTTGTAAACAATTAACACTAAATTTTCCGCTAGCTCTTTCTGTAAACATAACTGACTTGATTAGTCAAGATGACTCACATTGTTGTAATATGTGTTTAATATGCTCTATTAACATTTTATTTTAAAATTAATGCTACAAATGTCTTTCTAAAATTCATTATTATAGTTTAGTTCAAATACATAATATTCATATTCATTCTGCAAACATTTTAAACTGTTCTGAACTATAACTCTAAATTAAATGTTAAGGGTTTCAGATAAATTGATGACGGGGGTGACTACTGACGCTGTGTACAGTAGAAATAGTATGTCATTAATAAGAAAAAACAATATTATATAGTCGGTTATCGGAATTGTTAAATTCTATGCTCGAAACAAGATTCTGTGACATATTTCTGCTGTGTACAGTTGTTAGGACGAACCTCATGAATCAATCTATGCAGCAGATAAATTTATAAATGCTCTATAAGTTATTTTTTCAATTATATAGTGTAAGCTGTACGTGTGAGCGCATTTTAAAAAATATGGATTGGAAATACCAAAACGGAAAATAAAATCTAATTTATTTGTATATTCTAGATATTATT